ATATTGGTATTTAGTCAGTTAGAAGATGGTCTTTCTAATGGCATTTTCAGCTACCGGGGGCCAAACGCCATTTCTGTGTTTAATACTTACTAGTGTGGCGGGAAGGGAAATAAGATTAATTTCTGTTCAGCTGCATCCAGTAATACAGTTTGCTTCGAATACGCTGGCTGAACTGTCAGTGTTGGAAAAGAGGGAGAGATGTGATTCAGGTTTTTTACAGATACTTCAATTACGCATCGTTTTAGTGCCTGTTTTATAATTTCTTTTTTGTATGGCTCTTTTAGCCCTTATCTTGCACCCTTGACCACCTTCTGTAATCCTATTCAGCTTTTGATGCCTGAAAAATCATTCTAGCAGTTAAAAATGAGTGATACCTATTGAGCCCCGTTAGGTGGCTTTGACCAGCCCTGTCCAACTGCTTTTAAAAAAGCTTACATGTAGTTTAAAAAAAATAATACAATGACTTTGCTTGATGTGGTTGAAGAATTCATTGCGGGGACTAGCTTGGAGCAAGGAGAACCCGAAGCCGGAGCAGATGAGAAGAGCTCTTAGGCTTTGAACGCGGCTGGGACCGCTGCGATACAAAGCCTGAGCGCGTGTCCTGCGGTAGGGAGGGCTGCAGGGGGAAGATGGGTCAATTTGTCCTCTTCCCAAATACCTTTAGCTCGGCTGGGTATTCCGGATGAGCAATGAGCGCAGGGTTGTGGAGGATTCGGTCGTGAGAGCAGGCGATCCCGTGCTGGGGCAGGAACGGGGAACCGGCCTCGCCGGGCAGCTGGTTTAAAATAAAAGGAAGGACTTTTCCACCAGCAAAACCTTTCCTGCGGGCTGTTGTGAGCATGAAAAGGATAAATGAGTTAAAAAGGGATTAGGCGCTGGCGGTACGTGCCCAGAGGCTCTGGTTGCTGATGGTCTGCGTGAAACGGCTGGCTCAGCACGACCCCAAATCACCGGTCACTGAACAGCGTAGTGCACGGTGGAACCTCCTCCGCTTCCAAAAGCGTCTCCTGCTGATCAGTGCCAGTGTTAATATATTAAAAAAAATATATATAAAAGAAAAAATGTGTATAACAGATATTGGTCAGTCCTGAAGCAGTCAGGCAGTTGGACTAGATGGTTGTTGTAGGTCCCTTCCAACTGAACTATTTTATATACATAAATAAAATGAATATATATGTGTATCTTACACACTTTCATACACATATACACATATATATACACATGAATATACATACATATATATACACATATAATGTGTATATACACACACACACGTGTATATACACACACACACGTGTATATACACACACACATATATATATATACACACACACATATATATACACACACACACATATATATATAAATGAAAGTACCTGATGAGGTATTGGTGGAATTTGGGATTCTCGCTGCCCTGGTTGGCCCTTTCCTTTGGGAGAGGAGCAGGTGAGCATTTCTGAGCAAGCTCCTTGCCTTCCACACGGGGCAAAAGTAGCCAGCGACGGATTTCACCTTTGCTGAGGTGTTTTTGTGCCCTTCAAAGTACGTAATTTTGCTCATTGTGCGGTGAAGTTTGAATCTTGAAGTCATTTCTGGTAGCCTGCAGAACATTCTCCCACTTAGCGCTTGTTCTGTGAGCGCGACAGCTCTGTACGCCGGCTACTCTCGGACATGAAAAGCAGCACGATTTCTAGAACAGAAACAGTTGTGACACACCGTTTTTCAGCCACCAAAGTAGTCAGAAATAAGGTTAGAATTGCATTCGGCTGCTCTTTTTTTCTTATTTTGAGAGATACGGGATGCGTTAACGGTGCTCCTACTCTTTGGTTCCTGGCAGCGGTGGAGTCGGGAGCGAGACAGCAAAATTAGCATGATGTTAACACCGGGTTGATGGTGGTGGTTCTGCTCCACCTGGTCTCCTTCTGGTCTGCGGAGAGCTGGTGCTTGGGGCTGGTGGAGTTTTTTCCCTTTTTAAGGTTTTCCTCGTGGTGATGGTGTAATGCAACAATTGCATCCCAGAAAAACAAAAAGAAAAGGGGAGAAAAAACCTGTGAGTGATGAAAGTTCCTCTCAAAATGACTAGTTTGGTGGTCCAACGGCAGTCTCAAAAGGATTTCCCATTGTGTGACACCTTTACAGGGCTGAATTAACCACGGAGGGTTTAAATTCAGCACCAAAAGCCCGTGACCATCTCGCGTTGCAGTGGTGGGCTGCGGTGCTTTTGCTTTTGCCCTGCAGCTCTCAGCGTGTCTCCATTGGCATTAACGTTTCTGATGGGTTCTCCTTTTCCAGGTCCACAGCAAAGATAAAAAATACGTCTGCAAAGTGTGCAACCGAGTGTTCATGTCTGCGGCCAGCGTGGGGATTAAGCACGGCTCTCGCCGCCACGGAGTTTGTGCCGATTGCTCGGGTCGAGGCATAGCTGGTCACCTGGACCACAACGGAGGAGAAGGGTCTCCGGACGAGTGCTACCCCGGGGAAGGCCAGTACATGGAAGACCCAGATGACATCAAAGTGGAAGGAGACGAGGAGATGGGCGACGATGACGACATCAAGTGGAAGGATGACGTAGGAATGTCACAAGATGATGTGATTTTAGATGATGACAAAGATGTCGACTCTCCGCAGGAGCAGGACAACTCTGGGGAGAACGACAAGGATTTTACCTGGATTTCTTAGGGATTTTTTTTTTTTGCCCCTTCCGGTTTTTGTTTCGCTCTGTTGTTTGTAGGGGGAGGGAGGGTGGGGGAGGAAGGAGTATGTTGGAAAAACTAAGTAGCCTTGTTGTTGTCCATGTGTGCAAAATAACTCTTGTGTTTTCTAAACAAGTCCTTCTCTGTTCCACTCAGATACTGTCTTAGCAAAGTCGCTTCCAGCGACGCGACTGACTTCGCCTTCCCCCTTCTCCCTTCACGAACGGCCCCGACCGCGGCCGCCCCTCCGGCCGAGCCAGCCAGGTTGCATGCAAGTGAGGTAGAGTTTCTGCAAGTGTGAGCGCTGCGCGATGGGGAGGCTGGGTGAAGCATGAGTCCTTGTACCCTTCCCACCCTCACCCGAGCACCGGGGAGATTTTTGTGTCTGAAGCAGGGTTGGTTTTTTTTGTTTTGTTGTTGTTGTTGTTTTTCAGTGGTTGTTGGGGTTTTTTTTTAACACTTTGTCTGTGTGCTAAAATCCCGGCAGTGGTGGAATTACAAGCTAACGTTGTGAAAGCAAATCGATGTATGTGTTGGAGGGCTTCCCTGGATGATATGGGCCTTTTGCAAAGTTACTTAAAGAGAGTTTTTATTCTTTTTTTATGGAGCCAAATCGATCAAAAAGCAAGTCAGATTACAGCCTTACAAATCTCTGTCTTAGATTCTTAGCTTCCAAAAGAATCACTGTCAAAAAAAGAAAGGTTATGACGTTTCTTGGACCTACTGGCGTCTTACCCACGTCCCATCTTCCAGCCTGGGTTCTCTGCGGTCGCTGAAACGCGTGTTGGTGCTTCCAGAAGCACCCTTTGCTATAAAGGACACGGGTAATTCTCTACCTGTCGTTCTCTGCAAATATCTTCACTTTTCCCCCTTTGCTCAGCTGCCTTTTTCGTAAATATATGCAAAGAGTAGCAAAGGGCAGGATGAACTGGGAAACGTGGGAAGCCAAGGTGGGGAGATCCCAGCTGGCTGGAAATCTTGCTGCTCCCATCCCGCAGACTTAGGTGGGGCCAGGACTTCACCTGGGTACGTTGTTCTTCCTTGCCAAGCTAAAAAATTTCATTCATCATTGGTAGGCCTAGCGCCTACTTCATTCATGATGAAAACTTTCAGTTCTAGCTGCACTGGTTCCGTGTAAATTTTCAAAATTACCCTTTTTTTAAAAAAAACAAACAACCAGGTTTCTCTCCCAGCAGCTCCTAACATGGGGCTGCTCCGGGTAGTTGGATTCTCCTTGTTCATATCGGCCACCGTTGCCTTCTTCCAGCTACTCCTAAATGACAACAGCAACAAAGCGCGTTGGAAGCGTCTCCTTCCTGAGAAGCAGCTTGTTTTACCCTTCACCTCTTTGCTTCTGGTGCTTTTTTTTTAAAAAATTAAAAAAAAAAAAAAAAAGCCGAAGACCTCACTCTTCCTGTGCCGCGGAGCAATTTTATACGATGTCTGTGACGATGGTATCTCGAAACCTGCCACAAAAGACAACCCCGTTACCAGAAAGCCAAATGACTCACGGTGCTATTTTCCTCCCGTGGTGGGACAGGCGATCCCTGCGGGGGATCCTGCAGGTCTGCTGGTCCCTAACAAAACGCCTGGGTCCACCCAGCAGTGGAAATAAAAAGCATATTGTACAGCAAACCCCAGTAGAGCAAATAATCTTGAAGGATTTAAGCCACTTGATGCCAGGATTTGGTGGAGCGTGGTGGGAGCCTTGGTCCCGGCACCTGCAGTAGCCGGTTCTTCATTCATTCCCCCATTGAAGTCACATCCCAGGTTTTGGCGTTCGATCCCTTTCTCTGTTCCTCAATTCCTTGCAAACGTTCGCCGCTGCCTCTCTGCGTGCATCATCCCGGTTGGCGCCGGTGATCGCCTTCACTGGGAGCCTCCAGCACCTCCCAGGCTCCCGGTCTGTCGGGTTTAGTGCAGGTCAGCGATTTGGAACATGGGTCTGGCCTAAAATCCTCCGTCCGGCGCGGCGCGGCCACGCGAGCGCTGTCGCTGCTGCCGCTGATCCTTAGGATCGGAGGAGTTAAGTGGACTTCACTGCTGTTTGCCAGTGGGAATGGGAAACCCTCCTCTTCAAACACATAAAGAGTAGAGCGGTAGGGTCACGCAGAAATGTTTTCATTAAACTGCAAAAATCCAATTTGGCATTTTAGCTTCTTGCCAAGCCCTCCCGCCCGTATTTAAAAGACTTAAACGAACCCCGTATTTTCCAATTGGACCTTTGTATACTTCCCCCCCCCTCCCAGCAGTGGTTTTGGGGGGGGTCCCAGAGCGAGGTCGCTGTTTCACTACCCTGACTTTTCCCTCTCGGAGTGCGGGCTCTGTATTTATTGTCATTTATCCTGTAAATATGGAGGGGGGGGGGTAAGGGGGGCCTGAGGTCCTGAACTCGCAGCCTCGCCTGTTCCCTGTAGACAAACGCATCCAGTACTTAAGGGATCGCTGTAGCTTTGCTTTTTGTATGTAAAAATCTATTTAAAAAAAAAAAAAAAATACGTAAAAGCCAAACTGTTCAACCCCCCCTCGGTTTCCGTGACATTCCGTCTCGTCCGTCTGCTCCGATGCCGCTGTGTGCATCCGCTGTCGTACCTTCCTTCCCAGGAGGAGCGGGAGAGGTCGGTTAGAGCCCTCCTCTTCCTCGCTCCTCCCTGCCCTCGCCCTTGGGTGACTCGGGTTTTATAATCGGAGTTACGGGCTGATCAGCATTACTTTGGAAATACTTTATTTTAGTTTATTTTTCTTTTCTTTCCTTTTTTTTTTTTTTTTCTTTTTTTTTTTACGGGTGGGCAGCAATCCGGGTGGCTTTCCGAAGCGTTTCCTGAGGGTGCTGCTTGGAAGCTCTTTGAGCTGCGGATGCAAAAAAATAAATCAAAAAAAAAAAAGGAGAGAAAATCGGAAAATCCCGGTAAAAGCTCATTTTTCCGATGCTGCCATGATAATCTAGCAAACGCTTCTGTATTCCTAACGCCCGATGTACACCAAATAAACCCCTTCGAACCCCGACGGCTATTTTAAGTGCTTTGTTTCGATGGAGGCGTGCAGATTGGGCAAGGCAGGAATTCGTCTGTCATCTTCCATGCTCCGGCGGGTGCTTCGTGAGGCTTTGGGGTCAAAAAAGGAAGTTGGGCTTTTTTTTTTTTTTTTTTTTAAATAATGCTGAAACTTTATAAAAACTTCACCAGTTGCTCCGTCTGACCGGACCTCTCGGGCTCCTCTCCGGGCGCAGCTCGGATCTGCTGCCTATGCAAACTTCTGCTCCTCGAGATGTCGACAGACCCCCCGGTAGTTCCGCCTGTGCTATCCCACGCTGGCTCCAGCAACCTCTCGCATCTCGTCTTTGTATTTCCCCCCCCCAGGGCTTTGTATACTTCACTGAGGTTCCCTTTTTTTAATTTTTTCTAAATATATATATGTGTGTATATAGAGAGTTTCAGAAAAATAACTCCCCTATGGGTAAATAAATCGATGCGCGTGGTCCCAGTAACCTGCGGCTGATTTTAAGCGTTCCTCACGTGTCAATGTTCCTCCCTGAATTTCTTTATTATCCTCATTTATTTTTTATTCTTAAGTAACGCGAGCGTGCCAGGAGGACCCTCTCGTGCGGAGCGGGGTGCGGGCAGCATCGTCCTGCCCTCGCCCTCCCGGGGCCCCCCCCCAGGAATCCCCCCCCCCATCCCGCGCGAGGTGGCC